GCCTCTGCCCCAGTGAAGGAGCGAATGAGAGCGTGGGAACGCAACCGACGATTATTGAACGTGGACTGAACGGAACAAGAAATGGGGAGGAGAAAGGGAGAGAAAGAAATCCGGAAGAGGTCTCAGAGAACATAAAGAAATGGGAAAAGGTTCCCGCCTGGACTCCGCAGCTCCCAGGGACACCCGTCGGGCGCAGCGCCTTTGACAATTCCAGGCAATCAGAGGACGCGGTAAACAATTTTCAGCCAACCAGAGCTTTTCTCTTCGATGACTCCCCGGTTGCCAGGCGGGCCCGCAGAGCCCGGCGGCCCCGAGCGGAATTTGGGGCTCGGGCCGGGGGACGGATCCGCCCCGGGGGGGTCCCCGAGCCCCCTGCCCAGCCCTGGGGCCGATCGGGGGCTCCCCCACCCAGCAGCCGGTGCTGCGGGGCCGCGGGGCAGAGCGGTGGGAAAGGGGGGTCCGGGCTGGCAGCGGAGGAAATGCGGGAGGAAGAGGAGGGAGAGGAGGAGCAGAAGCGGGAGCGGGAGAATCGCGGCGCTCGGAGCGCCCGCACGCCGAGCCTGCAGCGCCCCCTGCCCCGGGAGCATCGCCCCCAGCCCGGAGCCGCAGGCGAGGGCGGAGGCCGAGCTCGACCCGGCTCCAGCCAGGGGTCTCCAGGAGGATTTTTTGGAGAGTGTTCGGAGCCGGCAGATCCCGGACTCGAGCCCCGGGTATCTCCGAGCTCCCCAAGAGGAGCTTTTTCGGGGGGAGAGGAGCCGCGATCGCCCCTCGGGAGGGTCCCGGGGGGTCCACGTGGGGATGGCCCGGTACCGACGGGGCGGGACATTGGTTTTGGGGATCCCCGTGAGAGCCGGGGCTGTGGAACGGGGGACCCCCGGGGCGGGGAGAGGGGAAGGGGCGATACCGGAGCTGGGGCACCCCCGGCAGCCCGGAGATGAGGCGGGGACGGGACCCCCTGACCCTGACAGGGGCGTGTCCTGGGGTGACTTCATGATGCTCGTACCCCATCGGTCTGTTTAGCCCAGAAATGAGTTCTGCACCTTTAAGGCTGGTTCTGAGAGCGAAGGGGAGGAGGAAGAAGCAGCAGTTTGTTTTCAGAAATTGTACTCACTCCTCTACATTCCAGCTGCTGGATGGACAGAGAGCAGGACAGAGCTCTCCTTTGCTTTTAGTTAGTTTTTAGCTCGCTGAGGCAGAGAAGTTCCCTGGACTGTGGTTTTTCTTTTTCTTTGGAGCTGTTTAAATCTGCTCTGGATTGAACACCCAGAACACCACCGGCAGCTCCTCCGTGAAGCCCACTGGGAAGGGCCTGGGCTGAGGCATTTCCAGCGCTGGATGGACTGATAAGAGGCTGGTAATGGACTGATAAGAGACTGATAAGGCACTGATAAGACACTGAGTGCACAGAGCTACAACTCAAGGAGGGACTTTCAGAGTTTGTCATCTATTTTGGAGCAGCAGGAGTTTTCATTGCTTAATATTGTTCAATTTTTGTGCTGGTGAATGCTTTGCCTGTAGAATAAAGGTTTTTTCCACTTTTCTCCCCGGAAATATTTTCCCGGACTGGCTGAGGGTGGGGCTGCTGAATCGGCATTCTAGAGGAAACTCCTTTTGGAGGGTTTCAACCGATTTTGCCTTAAACTAGAACAGGGTGGTGGAAAAAAAAGGGGAACCCCAAGTGGCTGGACTGAGGGGAGGCTGGAGAAGGGGGACCTTGGGACCCCAGAACCTTCCAGAATCCAAAAGCAGGACCCTGGAGAGGAGGGATCCCCAGGACCGATGGAATCCCCAGCAGCCCTGAGATGGGGGAGCAACCATAACCCAAGAGGGATGAGACTGGAAATGGGAAACTCCTGGTGGCTTTTTTTTATTCACTCTTGATTTTTGGACATCAGGTGACTTCTAGAAATGGACATGGGTTGGAGGAGTCCGCAGCCCAAGGCATTCACACCTTGTTTTTCCCCAAACCAGGATTTTCCCCAAACCTTCCCACTATGACATCCCCCCTGTCCCGCTCTGGGTGAGCTCAATCCCAAACCTGACCCTGATAGTGGTCTCAGTCTCACTCCATGTTTAGACACACTCACAGTTTTGTATTTATTCTCATCCCAGTCCCAAACTCATCTATCCCCAGACCCAATCCCTACCCCAGCCCTAAAGTTAATCACATGTCTAGCTTTAACCCCCATCTAAGCTCTAATCCAATCTCAGCCCCAACTCCAAGCCCAGCCCCAATTCCAGCCCCTTCCAAAATCCTCAGCCCCAAACCAAATCCCAGGTTCAGCCCTTCTGGGGGTTTGGGGGTGTCTCTGTCCCTCTGACCCCGATGATGTTTGGTTGGGGTCACAGCAGGGCTGAGAGGGACAGAGACCCCCCCGGCCTCCCCAGGGGTGAGAAGGTCGGAGAGCCCCCCCAGCCCCGAGCACCCTCAGCGGTGAGAGGGACACAGAGCCCCTGGTCCCCAGCCCTGCACAGGCATTGCCTGAGGCCAGAGGGATGGAGACCCCCCGAGTATCCCCTGGGCTGATAGGGACAGAGACCCCCGAGAATCCCCTGGGCTGATAGGGACAGAGACCCCCGAGCATCCCCTGGGCTGAGAGGGACAGAGACTGCCCCGAGCACCCCCTGGCAGAGGGGTGAGAGGGAGGGAGACCCCCCAGGCATTTCCTGGGTGAAAATTATGGAGACCCCCTGGGGAATGGCCTGGGGTGACAGGGAGAGGGAAACCCCCTGGGGAACAGTCTGGGCTGACTGGGAGAGGAAACCCCACCCCCCCCCCCCCGCCAAACCCCTCCCAAGCATCCCCCAGTGCGAGAGGCACAGAGACCCCTTGAGCATCCTCTGGGCACTGGACAAAATAAACTTGGCAGAGATCAAATTTGACTCTGCAAAATCACTGTGAAGAATATATAGTCTTCCCACAAGTAACTTGTGATGAAAGTGCAAACAAATCCCAAACATGAATAAACTGACAATCCAAGCAGTGAAGTGGCAATTCCAATATTCATTGCTTCCTGCACAGCTCCAGCTAAGCTGCTGGCAGGTTTCAATAAAAGGAAAGTGGAAATTTGGCCCAATACAGATTATTAAAAGGAATGGAAAGCTGTGTGTAGCAGTAACAAAGGTGATAGGGATAAAGAGAAAAATGATTGTCACATTTGGTAAAGCCCCCAAGCCTGGGAATTCAGGACTTATTCGGAAATTTATCTACTTGAGCTGGGCTTCTTCTGGGACTTTTAGCTGCCTTGCATTCCTCACCATGGGGTGACTGAACCTTGTCAGTCTCACTGGTAAGATTTGCTCCGTTTCCTCCAGTGATTTTAACAACTTTATAAGGAAAGGCAGCAAATTATTTTCTTTACACTGGCCAGCCATAAAAGCCATTTTCCTCATCATTTCTCCCATAAAGAAAAAAAACTTTTATAAGCTCCATAAGCTCCGCAGGAGGAAGGAGAGACTGTGTCCAAGTTTCCAAGAGTTCTTCCAGAGAGAACCACAACCTCGTCAGTGGAGGGAGCCATGCTGTTGTCAAAGGCACTTGGGTTCAGAGAACAGCGCCTAAACACACTGTGCAAAAATAATGTCACAGTCTGGTTATGCAAATTGTTAGAGAGATTCCTCTGCCCCAATTAAGGTGCTAACGACACCAAATCCAAAATGGTTTTTATTGAACAGTAAATGTGAGGTAGAGAGATGGAAAGAAAGAGAAAAGATGAGTGACAAGGGACAGAGACCTCCCCTGGAGCAGGGCAAGTGTGATATTGTCCCCTGTGTGTGGGGGTTTTACACCTGAGCCAGTTTGGGTAAGGGGGGTGGTGTTCACCCCCCTGAGCAGGGATTACCCCACTGTTTCAGGTTGCAATGTAAGATGTAACCAAATGCATGTTTTCAATCACCATCTCCATAAACTGTTAGAAACAGGTGGGGCAGTGTTCTTTATCTCTTCCATGACTCAGCCCTGATAACGCCCTCCAGGGGAGATATCTTGGGCTAATGGGCCATTGAGTGTCACTGCAGGACCGATAAAATTCCATTATCCCTTTGTGGGATGCTCCGCCCAGGGGGAGGAACCAAGCATTCCTACCTGGATATAAGCTGAGCCTTGCTACAACCAGGAGCAGCTTGCCTACTGGATTCCCAGAGGACAAGAGCTCCAGAACCACCAGTGGACCTCCAGATGAAGGCCAGACCCTTCTACAGCATCACTGCTTTGACAGAATCACGTTCACCTCTCCAACAGGACTGCAGCCACCATTTAATGGGACTTCAGCCACCATCCTTACATACAGGGTGTCAGGTTATATCCTGACTCTGTCAGTTTAAGGCAGTGTTTCTGTATCATTGCCTTGATCTTAGTTTTCTTTTAAATTGTAATTCTGGTTTAGACCCTCCCCAGGTTTGCCTTAAACCCAGCTCAAAACTCAATGCACTCATTCCTTGTTTTCCTCCCAAAACAGAATTTCCCATCCCCAAACCTTTGCCAAATGGAAAAGGAGGCTGTGAGGAACAAGAAGGATCCCCAGGACACCCAGGCAGGTGAGAAGGAAATCAGTGCCCCTTTCCCCCTCTCTCCTGCCCCATCTCCCAGCCCAGCATGGCCCCTGGCTGCAGGACAACCCTGCTGCCAACACCATCCTACTGGAGATGCACTGGGGGAATCTCCTTCCCCTGCCCTCTGGCACGGAGGCAAATCCCATCCTCTCCTTGTCTTTCCTCCCCCAGAGAAGAAGCTGAGGATTGGGACCAGGGAGGACAAATCCCCACAGCAGAACGTGCAGGAAGAGGCCGTGATGAGTGACTCCAGGGCACAGGAATCCAACGGGGAGGAAACTCCCCAGATATTCCATAGGAAGAGGGGCTGCAAACCCAGTCTGGGGTGCTCTGAGGAGGAAAGACCCTCCCTGAGCCAGGAAGGTGGACAGAGCTTCACCCAGGGCTCAGAGCTGGTGGTCCATGAGCAGCTTAATGATGGAGAGAAGCACTACAAGTGCTTGGAGTGTGGGAAGAGCTTCAGGCAGAGCAGCACCCTGATCCGCCACCAACGCATCCACACCGGGAAATGGCCCTGCGAGTGTGGGGAGTGTGGGAAGGGCTTCAGCTACAGGTCAGAACTCATCAGGCACCAACGCATCCACACTGGGGAGAGGCCCTACCAGCGTCCCCAGTGTCAGAAGAGGTTTCAGACCAGCTCCAGTCTCCTCCAGCACCAGCAGATTCACACAGAGGAGAGGCCCTTCCGCTGCCCTGAGTGTGGGAAGGGCTTCAAGAACAACTCCAACCTCATCAGGCACCAGCGCACCCACACTGGGGAGAGGCCCTACAAGTGTCCAACCTGTGGGAAGAGGTTTCAGAGCAGCTCCAATCTCCTCCTGCATGAGCGGATTCACACGGATGAGAGGCCCTTCCGCTGCCCTGAGTGCGGGAAGGGCTTCAAGCAAAACTCCCACCTCATCACCCACCAACGCATCCACACTGGGGAGAGGCCCTACACGTGTCCCCAGTGTGGGAAGAGCTTCACCCATAGCTCTAACATGACAAAACACCAACGGAGGTGCCACTAAGGGAAGCCCTGCAAGTGCCCCAGCTGCAGGAGGAGCTTTGTGAACTGCTCCAGCTTCATCCTCAATGTAGGTCTAACGTTGGGAAGAGCACGGGTGATCCATGTTCCCTATGATCCATGCTGGGAAGACAACTGCCCCAATACCTTCCCCTGTCAATGACATGGTGTAGAACTGAGGTACATGAGGGTCTTTCCATGGTCCTGTCATTACACTCATTCTCACCTCAGGTTATTGCCAGGGGCAGGAAAGGGACTCTCTCTCTCCCTGAGAAGAAGGGTGTCCTTTCCAGGTGGGGGAAATATGTTGCTGGGAAGAGCCAGTGAGTTGTGTTTTAGTTTTCCCTGTAAACAGTTTTATTTATCCCTTCTGTGATCAATAGTTTTTCTGTTCCATTTGTTCCTTATCTCGTTGCTGTTCCCAATAAATTGTTCTTATCCCAGCCCAGGATCTTTGCCTTTTGTGCTTTCCATGGGAGGCGGGAGGGCAGTGAGGGCAGCGTGGTTTTAGCAAGAGCAGGAAATTGGGGTATCCCATTCCTGAACCCCAGACCATGTAAACCAAGCATCCCAGCTGGTCCCAGCCCTGGTGGCCATGGCAACAGCCTTGGGAGCGGGTCCCTGGCTGGGGCTGTGGGAACCTCTTCCCTCTGGTGCCCAGGGACAGGAGTGGAGGGAACGGCTGCAGCTGAGTTGGGGCAGGCTCAGGTTGGATGTCAGGAAAAGGTTTTTGCCCAGAGGCTGCTGGGGCCCTGCCCAGGCTCCCCAGGGAAGGGTCCCAGCTCCAGGGCTCTCTGAGCTGCAGCAGCGTTTGGACAGCGCTGCCAGGCCCAGGCTGGCATTGTTGGGGTGTCCTGTGCAGGGCCAGCAGTTGGAGTGGAGGATCCTGATGGGTCCCTCCCAGCTCAGCCAATTCTGTGGTTCTGGGATCCCATGAGCCTGGGAATGGGGGGGCTGCCAATGGTTGCCATGGCAACGGGCTCTGGCTGCAGGCTTGAGCTGGTGTCCATGGCAACCACCCCTGGCATGGGGTCTCCATGGAGCTGCCAAGGGACTGACCATAGCAACAGGGGGCTGGTGATTGTTGCCATGGAAACTGACCATAGCAACAGATGTCTGGTGATGGTTGCCATGGAAACTGACCATAAAACAGGGGGTGTGTGATGGTTGCCACGGAAACTGATCATTGCAACAGGGGGCTGGTAATGGTTGCCATGGATACTGACCATAGCAACAGGGGGCTGGTGATGGTTGCCTGCTAAGGATCAGATTTGTCACAGGCCCTCAGAGGGGTTCCATGGGGACTTTCCAGGAGTCTCCAGGCTGTTCCAGAGCTGGAATGTCACACGCAGAGACAGGGGCTCCATGGACACCTCCCAGGGGTTTCTGGGATGGTAAAGCGCCCTGTGGTCAGAGGCAGTCACAGCCATTCCATGGTGACAACCCAGGGGACCTTGGGCTGCAAAGGCACCGATCTGTCACAGGCACTCACGGTGGCTCCACGGTGACATCCCAGGAGTCCCCAGGCTGCCAAAGAGCCGGGATGTCCCAGACACTCACAGGGGTTCCTGTCATGGGCACAGTGGGAGCTTCAGGCAAAAGCTTTATTTCTTTATTGGAGAAACTTCTGATGAGTCATGAGGTGAAGAAATGACACCCCGTAGCCACCATGGTTCCTCAAACCCCTGCAGGGCCCGTAGACTTCTAAAATTCCTTCTAAGACAGGAGACTGGGAGTGGCTGGATCCAATCCCAGCCCCAGACTTTGTCAAAGGTGTAAAAGATTGAACAGGTGGAATTCAACTTCAACACATTTTGTCCCACAGGATTAATGACAGAATACCAGATACATTCATATAAATATGCCTCTGGCTTATTCTGATCATGATCAGATGGAAAGATCACTAGCACAGTTATTTACTCCACAGTTCAGGAGCTATAACCATTATTAGAATATAGTGCTCTAAGCAGCAGTTTTGAAGTCAGCAGGGCCTTGCTGGAGTTGTTGGAGCCCATTGCAGGCAGAGCCTCCTGCTCCAGCAGGAACTGCCTTTCCTGTGCCATGAGCAGTGCAGGTCCCGCTGCAGGAAAAGCCCCAGGCCAGCCCCAGCACAGGGAAGGGCTCGGACACAAGGGCAGAGTGCCGTGCTGGGAGCTGTGCCAGGGAGAGCCGGAGGCACCAAAGGCACCTTGGCAGCAGCAGCTGCTTGCAGACCATGGCCAGAAGCCTCCCTTGGCAGCCCGGCCTGGTGGGAACCACTGCAGAGCTGCTGCCTCAGGGCTCATTCCTGGCTGGGCTCTGAAAAGCCACTTCTGCTCCAGGAGCCTGACTGGGAAGCCATTGGCCCCAGCACCTTGGGGACAAGATATTAACGACAAAATTCTTCATGCCAGCAGAGCCAAGGCAGGGGCAAAGGAAAGGGCAGAGCCAGGCCCAGGGGAAAGGTGTGCCATGGTGATGGCTGTAAGGTCACTGCCCCTGCAGCTGCCTGGCTGCCCTCAGCAGACATTCTGGCCAGAAGCCTTGTGAGGGCACCCAGCACATCAGAAAACCCACACTACAGGAATTCTGTCCCTGAGGATGAGAGGGTTTCACTGGGTCAGGCTGCACAAACATCCTGATCTTGGACAATTCCTGTGATGGGGCACCCCTTTCTCTGGAAATACACTTGCAGCTTTGTGCCTTTCTCATAACTATAAAAGATTTCCTCCTTCTACCAAATGTAAATCCACCCTCATTCGTTTTAAAGATATTGACCCTTGTTCTGTCGCTGCAAGATTTAGGAGAAAAAGCCTTTAATGACTATTTTTCCATTTTCACAGGTCTTGGAGAGGACCCAAAAATCTCCCAAGATGGGGTTTGGAGGCCTCATCAGATAAGCACCAGGGAGAGGCTGATAGCTCTGGGGTCAGTGGGGTAGAGACTGAGGACTAAACGGGAATAGCCTGAGAGGGAGGGAAGGGTGGTTTCAGAGAGTCTGGAGCTTTTTCTTCATAGTGGGAATGGGCCTGAAGAAGACATAATAGCACCAAGGGCAGCTGGGGAGGCCCAGACTGGCAGCAGGAGAAAGGAATTTCCCTGCCAGGGCAGGGCTGTGGTGCAGCACGTGCAGGCAGAGGCAGGCAGGAGGCAGAGCTGTCAGCAAAGGAGGGACCCAGCCAGGTGGGGCAGCGGAGGGATGCCGACAGCCTGCAGGGACAGAGACACAGTTTTGCTCAGCACCAGAGACACCTTTCCCTCGCTTGTTCCCACGTGTCATCACTGCCACCTGTGTTCTGCTCTACCTGGAACCTGGGTACATTTTCTTGGTCCTGTCCCTCAGAAGGATCTATTTAAAGTATGAAAAACTTCAGTGTTTCCCCCTCTTTTTGAGTCCCTGAGAAGTTTTTTGAGCACATTCTGGGGGATGGGTCTGAAGCAAAGAACAGCAAAGCCCCAGAGGGTGATTAAAGTCCCTGCGCTGTGTCTGTGCTGCTGAGCTGGGCCGGGCTCCTGGCCCAGAGGCAGGTCCAGGCAAGGGCAGCGCTGCAGAGAGACAGCTCTGGCCAGGAGCAGCTCCTGTGCACAGCCCAGCAGGGCTGGGGCACTGCCAGGGCCCCTCAGGGACACCAGCAGGGCACAGACAGAGCTGACAGGGGCTCAGCACTGGCAGGGGCTGTGGGATGGCCCAGAGGGGGCTGTGTCACAGCGGCACCTCTGGGGCTGTGTCATGGAGGCACAGAGCAGCTGTGATGGCAGCAAGGGGCTGTGTGACAGCACAGAGTGGGCTGTGTGTGAGGTCACAGATTGGGCTATGACATCACAGAGTTTGTTGTGTGAGGTCACTGAGCAGCTACAGCATCATAGAGAGGACTGTGTGACATCACAGAGCAGTCTGTGACATCAAGGCATGGCTGTATGACATCATAGGGCTGGCTGTGAGGTCAGAGTGTGTGCTGTGACATTACAGAGTGGCAGTGTGACATCACAGAGAGGGTTTTGTGACATCACTGAGACTGTTGTGACATCACACAGCTGCCTGTGACAATAAAGAGTAGGTGTGAGGCCATAGAGCAGATCCTGCCATCATAGAGGGTGTCTCTGTGACATCAGAGAGCGGGTTGTGACATCACTGGGTGGCTGTGTAACATCACAGAGCAGGCTGTGACAACACAGAACAGACAGTGACATCACAGGTTGCCTTTTTGACATCACAGTGTTTTCTGTGACATCACAGTGCAGCTGCATGACATTCCAGGGTGACATCCCAGATTTGGTTCTGTGGCATCACAAGCGTGATGTGTGACATCCCAGAGTGGACTATGACATCATTGGTGTCTATGTGACATTGCAAAAGAGGCGTGCGGCATCATAAGGGGCAGTGTGACATCACAGGGGCTGTGTGACATCTCAGGATGCTGTGTGACATCACAGGGTCAGTGCGACATCACAGAGGCTGTGTGATATCACAGGAGCTGTGTGACATCACAAGGGCTGTGTGAGGTCACTGGGGAGGTCACTCTGCCCCGGCCCCCCTCACAGTTCCCCCCAGAGCAGTCCAACCCTGCTCGTGCACAGCAGGGTCCCCTGTCCCCCCAGGTCCCCCCGCCCCCGGCCCCACAGCCTCCCCCCGAGGATGTTCCACGAGATTGACCCCAGAGCCTGACACGGGGACAGGGGGCCGGGGCCCTGGGGGTGGCATAGGGGGACAGGGACCCCCCCACAGCATCCCTGTGTCCCCTAGGGCCAGAGCCTGGGCCAGGGCTCCTTCACACTGTTACGAACAAGGGCTTGAGAGCACTAGAAAAAATCCCCAGCAAGGGAGCAGCAAAAACCACATTTAATATTAAGGGACAGCAGCACAAAGTTCCTTGGCAAGAGTCACTCTGCTCCTGACTGGAAACATCAGGCACAGAAAGGAAACAAAGTAACAACAAAACCAAAGTAAATCTAGGCAATCAAACCAGAAATGAACTGAGAA